GCGCGTGGTGCTCACCCCACCCAGCGGCAGCTCTGGGGGGAGGTAGAGGATAGAGGGGGACGGGAGGGCGAGTCCAGACCCCACAGTGCCACCACCCCACGGCCGAGGTGGCAGCCCCGTACCCTGACTCTGCGGCTTTTGCTCTCCCCATAGACCTGCCTTGGGGCGAGACAAGCCTTTGCCTGCAAGCAGAATCCCTGCCCAGACCACCACCTGTCCAGACACCCTCTCCCTGAGGCTCGAACCCCTTTGGGAATGCAAATACCTTTGTCGGGGCCGCTCTGGGCAGCCTGGACGGTCAGCAGGTGGAAGACGGTCCAGAGCCCACAGGGGTAGCCACGGAAGTGGGATTCGGTGCCCTGGCAGCCCACCCAGGTGATGTTGGTGGGGAGCACGGCAGGCTGGGAAGCCTGGAGGACAGACAGACACGGCCTGATGTGGCTGGCAGACAATGTGGGGTGGAGGGACAAGGGGCAGGGGTGAGGAGAGCAAGGGCCAGGGTCCCCGTGGGCATCTTACATCTCTGTTATTCTTCATGGCCTCCTTCAAGGTGCTGCGGGGCAGCTCGGGCTCTGTCCAGTTCCTCAGCCAGCCGTCCAGGGACTGCAGGTAGGTCTGCACACAGGAGCGCCCGGGGAAGTACTGTGGAGGGGGAAGAGGGATGAGGAAACCCAGACCCCTCCACGGGCAGAGGGGCAGCCTGCTGGTACCCCCAGCTCGCCGGGATGGGCTCCGGGCAGTGCCAGCATCCTCATGTGCCAGAGGGCAGTGCGGTCCTGGCAAGGTTTCGGTGCCCAGCCCAGAGGGGCTGGGGGCTGCGGGGCGTCCCCCTGCAGCAGTGGTGAGGCCCCCGCGTGCATGTTCAGGCTCCGAACCTCAACCCCATCTGAGGGAGGAAAAAGCCACTCTGACCATAAGTCAGCGCAAAGCCGATTAGCAGCGGCACTTTAAAACCGCAGGCGCTCCAGGGAGAGGGGGCAGCCCACCAGCACGTGCCACCGACAGACGGATGGACAGAGGGACTGACCCACAGCCCACGGGGAGGATGAGAGCAGCAGCACACAGGAAAAGCAATGGGGAAGCGAAAGGAAGAAGCGTTTTGCTAAATCTGAGCTGTTCTCTGCGGGGCCGTGGGGAATCACACTGAAAGTCCCAAATTCCAAGGGGAATTCATCTACGACCTGTTGTTTCTGCTGCAGAACGCAGTCCCTCCCTGCTCCTTCGGCAGGAGGCTTTGCCACGCGATGCCCTGCTTTCCAGCCAACCACTTCTTTCCACATTAGGATCTTTTCCCCATTCCTTGCCTTAAACACCTCTTGGGAACGCAACAGTTAAGCCTGGGACCCGCTGGCTGAGCTCCCCCAGCCTCAGCCCTGTCGGGCTGGCAGCAATCCTGGGGATGCTGCTCCGTCCCGTGGATGAGCGCGGCAACGGCAGCGCCAGCTCGGCATCCTCGGGGAAGCCCCGGCACCCACAACCCACCCAGTGCCTCCTGCCCACAGTGGGGAGGCAGTTTTGCCTCCTTGCCAAATCCAGTGCTTGGCCAGTGAGGGGAAGGTTTGTGGGGAGAATGAAAAACTGATCAAATAAAACCACTGCTGCTTTCCACTGCCTCGGCAAGCTTGTACCCTTGGCCAGGGAGCAGGTGCAACGGGAGATTTATTTCCATAACCTTGAGGTTCTTGTTAAAGGAAGAAATAGTGAGGGCAATAGCTGGGGGCAAGCGGAGGAACAGCTGTGCGAAGTTCTGAGCTGAGGACTTAAGACTCGTTGCACCAGTGGCTCGTGTTTGGAGTTCTTTGCGGGGAGAGAGCAGGCAGGGATGGGAGCGAGGAGTGTCTCGCACACGAGCAAGAGGCCCAAATTGAGCCTGAGACCCTGGGTAACAAAGGAGGGAGCAAAGAAGGAGGACATGACTGAGTGAAGGGCTGCCAAAAAGCCCGGGCTGGGACAGAGATTGGGATGAGGACAGGGCTCCCTCCACCCCACTGGTGGAAACCTCAGCCAAAGGCAGCACTCCATCGCACCAGGAAATTAAACTGCCCTGCTGAAAGCTCCTACACACTTCACTTTCACCAAGCCCAACAGAGAAGAAAAAAGGAGACCTTAAATTAGGCTCTTCCGGAGCCTGACGCAGAGCAGGAGTCCCCAGGCTGTCAAAGGAGCTCACAGAGATCAGCTCCCCGAGCCGAGCACCCAAGTCAGAGTTACAAACCCCTCCGATCACCTCTGCCACCCCAAGCAGGTGACAGTCTCTCTTTCGAAAAGACCTGCCTCGACATGTCACCTCCGGCAAGCACCGAGCCTGCTCTGCCCACCGATACCTGCACCCCCGGTCTCATCTGAAACTCTGCAGCACCTACATTCGGTCGCCGGCTCCCGTTGGGGCTCTGGGCTGGGTGTGGAGCTCCGTAGAGATGGGGACAGCCCAGCACCACGCTGAGCACTGGGACACAGGGCTTGCACCGAGAGACCGCCACGCTCTGCTACCTTTGAGCACTGGGACACCGTCTGCACCCTGCAGTCGCATTTCACCTTATAAATAGCTACGGGGAGGCGCGGGCAGTTCCTGTGACACTGAAAGCTCCTCACCTTCACCAGTGTGGCCACGTAGCACTTGAAGGCGGCCAGCTGGGCTCCCGACAGTGTGGCAGCACGGACAGCCTCCACCCGCAGTGAGTAGTGCAGCGTGGACTCCAGGTCGGCCATGTACACCTTGGAGCTGGGGAGGGCAGTGCAACACGATGGTGTCCGTCAGTCTGTTGATCACCACCCCCAGGGACCCAGCCACCATTCGGGATTTTTCCCTGGGGAAAGGCACAGTCCCAGCCCGTTGCCCACCAGAGGCCATGGCACCTCCTCCTCCCACAGCCCCAAAATGATGGAGGGAGAGCGTGTCTGACCGGTCAGCGTGCTTCAGTGGGGATGCAGCGGTCTCGTTGGAAGCACTGTCGGTTGTATTCAGCTTGTAGGAGCCGCGGGTGACGCCCGAGAGCGTGCGCAGGTAGTAGGTGTAGAAGGAGCGTGCCTCCACGTGCCTGCGAGGAAGGAGAAGCTGTAAGCCAGACCCTCTTCCATTCCAAACAGCCCCTGGACCCCAGGAGGAACCAAAAGGGTTCCAGCCAGACAGGCAACTTGGACCTCAGGAACAAGCGTGGGGTGCTCCGCCCCCTCCGGCCGCCCCAGTGGTGGGTGTCCTGGCACACGACCCGGAGCAGAGCTGAGCCTCGGGGAGCCGTGCTGTGCCACCTCCAGGTAGATGTGGTAGAGGGGGAGCTCAGTCACAAGCCATGTTCCCTTTTGCCAGCTCCAGGCAGGCCTGGCAGCCCCCTTCAGTGCCCACCAGCAGCCCCTTGCCCCCATGCCTGACCCAGCCACTGTCTCCTTCCTAATGAACTTTCCCACAATTACACAGGAGAGAGGAGAGATGGAGCACAAGCCTGGGACCCCACCCACCCTATGTCCTGCACTCACACGGGCAGGCGGGAGAAGGAGCCGTTGCGGAGGACCAGGTAGCCAGAGGGGAAGGTGGTGACGCCGAACTTCTCCACGAGCTCCTCCTCGCTGCTCAGCACCCTCCTCACCGCCACGTTCTCGTACTGCAGCATGTCCAGTGCCACCTGCAAGTCCAGCGGCCCCAGGGTGAGGTGGGGGGGTGGCGGGACCCCCAGCCCCAGCAGGGATGCAGCAGGGCTACTTAGCACCCTGTATAACACTTCACGCCTGCAAAGCGGTGTGCAAGCCAACCGGGGAGGCTGCCAGGAGAAGAGTTCCCTGCCAAAGGTGCCCAGGAGTTATCTGGCACCCGGCACATGGATTTCAAGAGAAATGGGGGATAAACGCAACTGTACGCACCTCTCTGCCCACAAAGGAGTCGCTCTTCTCAAAGATCAGCGCCAGGTACTGGTCCTTGTTCCTCTGGAAGAAGCTGTGAACTTCCTCCGCGCTGCAGGAGAGAAGAGGATGGCAATGGGGTGCCTCGGCATCAGCCGGATGCTCTGCCCTCTCGCCCGAAAGGAGCTCAGTCCTCATCCGCTGGGATTTGGCAGGGGATGCTGGTGCGGGTTCAGCCCCGCCGAGCGGGCAATTACTCCCTGCTGAAGTTTCCAGCCCAATTTTCTGCTCTGCTTCACAAGCTTTGAGAAAACCCGCTGGCGTCAGGCAAGGAGGCAGAAAACAAAGCGCAGGCAGGGCAGGGCAGGAGGGAGCTGCACGTTCACCCAGGGGAAAAAACAGCAATGAATTTGAACTGGGGCTGTTGTTTTTTTGGCTAGGACACGGAGGCACTGGAGACCTGAAGCACAAGCCCAGCTTGATCATCACTTTGGGAAAGCCAAATGCTCCCCCTGGGACAGCACAGCAACTGCCTGCATCTGGCAAAGACAACTCAGACCCCAATAAATTTGTACCAAATCCAGAAAACCCTTTCTCGGGGCAGAAAAAAGCTGCTGACAGCAGCGGCCTCACTCGGCATAGCACGGCACTGCCACATCCGCAGCCCAGGTGCCGTTTGCTCTAATTAAGGCTGATGAGCAGGTTTGTTAGGAGATGCAACAACATGGCCTGTCTCGTCCGGGCCACACTCTAGCCTGCACAGGTCATTTGCGTCTCCCTGGGACATGGGAGATGCAGCAGCTGCTCCATGCTCGTTTTTGGCTCAGGATTTCCCCAGAAACCTGCTCTCCACGGGATGGGAACTGCCAGAGCCACCCCCACATTGTGCCACCCCTACCTCGCCGGCTCCAGCGGAGGACAGGCGGGCGGCCATGTGTCCTGGCTCTGCTCCAGGTTGGTGATGATGGCATGGCGCAGGTCCTCGACGGTGGCGCTGGGATCTGCGGGGGGACAAGACGCCCAGGGATCAGTCCCAGGGAAGCCGGTCCCATGGGCTGAGCTGAGGGGAGCTGCTCTGAGCTGCCCCCCAGGCTCCCCACGGTCCCAGTACACAGGGGGTGTGGGCAGCAGGGCTGTTCACACCCAGGGTAAAAAACCCCCATGGCTCTCAATACTCACTGGTAATCCTTATCCCATCCTCTGCCTTCTTGCTAAAAGCTCTGAAGAACTGAAAGGGGAAAAAAAAAAGACACAAGGGGAAACTGGAGTGAGAGCATTTGGAGTGGGACAGGGAGGCAAGGCAGCCCCGCAGGCAGAGGCTGACCCCGGATCGGCTCTGCCTCCGTTTCTCCACAACATTACAGCACGCCAACCGACACCAGCCACCGCAGAGGGTGCACCCGGCTGTGTCCCAGTCTTGTGGGCCATCCCTGGAGGGGAGGGATGCAGGCATGGGCTGGAAGCCATGTCCAGTTGAGGGCTAAGCGCTGGCAGGCACCAGCGCAAGCATCTCCAAGGGTCTCTGGGAGGCAGCCAGAACCTTCCCAGACCTGCAAAATACTGTCTCCCTGCTCCAGAGCTTTCACAAAGTGGGAGAAGGGGGTTTCTCCCCACTCCTGGGCTTCCACAGTGGCTCCAGTGCCCGCGGTACAGCCAGAGCAGTGAAACCAGGTTGCGTCAGAGAGGTGTTTGCTTTGCAGGCTGGGCTGGGAGCGCGGGCTGTTTGCAAAAGGTGTTTGGCGGGGACAGGGGATGCGAAGCAAGTGACTCCTTGGCACTGCCACATCAGCACACCTCCCTGCCCCGGGAGATGTTTCAATCAATGTCCCACGGGCGGTGGGTGCTCAGGCAGTGGGTGCTCGGTGAGACCCCAGTGCAGGGCCACAAGCCAACCTGCCTGGCAAACCCCCAAATCTGACTCCACCGTGGGCTGAACCTGTAAAGCGGGACTGAGGGCATGCCTGATGAAACCCTTATCCCCCCAGATCTGTCTTAAGGCGATCCTGGCTTTTGCTGCCTGCACCTGAAGTGCTTCAGCTTTATTGCTTGTGTTGGAGCGAGGCTCTGTTTGCAGTGGGAAATGCTGTGAAATGGCAGCATTGACACAGCTAAGGGGCCGGGCACAGGCCCAGGAGGAGGGACGGCACCTCGCCAG